CCATTCTTGCACCATCTAGGAGCATAATCGGCACAGTGAACAACTACAACTTTGGGATATCAAATCCGTACTCGCACCATTCGCACCATGGCAGAACAATGGACACAGTTCAGTTGGTTTGACGGAGCAGCATCATTTTGAGTTAGAGCTTCTTTTTCTTGGAACCATCAGGTTAGATCAATAAAAATTGACGCCCTATTATCAAAGCACGAGCGGAGACTGAGAGCGCTAGTCGAAACAGCAACGATTCAAACGAAGCGTACACTGGGGTTTCGTCGGATAGCCTGCTGGGGCGAACATGTAGCGGCATTGCGAGCCCATCACGATGCTATGGCGACCCATTGGACAGATTTCTAGGTTGAGGCTGCGGATTCGACGCGGCCCTGTCGTTCCGACAACAATCTCTAGAACCCTGAGCTTGCTTTCCCTTCTTCGATTTACTGTGACCGGAGATAAGCGGCCATCGGAGAAACGTCATCAGGCTTACTTGAGTGGCCACTGATCCAGGACGAGAGGATTGATCGTGTTCAGAGTTCGTCCCGCAAGCTGTGAACCAACGCCGCAGTCTGGTTCACAACTGGCTACCTGGATGCTTGCGACCATCATCAGATGGGTCTTAGTCCTAGTTTCATGTGATTGCGGGTACCAGTATGTTGAGGAAAACCTCGGAAGTTGATCTCGATTCTCGATGGGGCGAAGACGGCGCGGAACGAGTTTCAGTTCCCGGCCTAATGCACCAGATGTATATTCCTACGCAAAGTCAGTGCACACGGGTGTCGGGCTTGTACCGTACTAAGGTCATCGTGTTGGACCTTGTAAACGACGGGATAGATTGATCATGCAAACGAGCTTTCCCTGGGTCTGCGTGGACACAGCGCGGTTTTATGCACCATCTGGAATGTCCAATCGAACTTGTAACACGTGACGAAGTAAAAAAACTGTTGACTTTTTTCCGGCCGACTGATCGAGGAGATGAGGGGGAAATGGACCTGATGCTAATGGAGCTAAGTTATCACGCACTGGACGAAGCTTACAGGCACCGGGGGGTGGTCTTATATTGTAATGTGACACACCGCACCTAGCGTGCAAACCAGCGCGTGTGTACTTGGAAACACCCGGCTCTTGAGGACTGTGGGCGCTGAGGCATACAACACGGCACGGTTGGTTACGTTGTTGATCCACGTGTGGAAGAGGTACAGCTGTTTTCATAACATATGGCGGGTCAGTTTTCGCGTAGCCCAGCGGTCATCCAAAACTCATGAGCGGGGTTCGTAGTTAAGTGGACAAGAGAATTGGGTTATCATACAGAATTGGGGTTATAGAATAGTTATCTCCGTTGTCATGCTCGGCAGCTTACTCCCTTCCGTTGTCGTCCCTTCCAAACCCTCAACAATGGTCCGGTACTCCAATGACATTAAGGAGTTGGCCTTATCAATGTCACATCGGGGACTGCGTGACTCAGAAATCCATGAGCTCACTGGAATCAGTATACAGTCGCTTGAGAGATACCGCAGCACACATCGCAGGATAGGAGTGGTATCTTCACCACCACCAATTAACAATGGTCGGCCACGTATTCTCACTGCTATTCAAGTGAAGGTATGTCTGCAATATACGGGTTCTGGGTGTTGTCTAACTGCTACAGTTTCTTTGTGGTTCTGTTGAGCGCCAGCCCGACACTTCACTCATGGAGCTGCAGGTGGCGCTTCAGGAAGTGTGTGGCGTTGAGGTATCGCTTCCAACCATTATGCGTTCCCTCCGAAGGAAGGGATACACAAGGAAAATGGTGCGTACATCTTCAATCTATTGGCCCCAACATTCTCATCAACATCGTTGACAGCTCACACGTTGCGCTCTTGAGCGTAATGAGCAAGACCGTGAGGCGTATATGGCCCTCATCACTGCCCATTTCCGTCCAGAACAACTTGTCTTTGCCGATGAGAGCCATTTCAATCGACTCACCCTGAGGAGGCCGTATGCGTGGTCTATGCGTGGCGAGCGTGCATGCCGCTACGAGTTTTTCCATCGTGGTAAAAAGTACTCGATGTTACCTGCTATTTCCCTGGATGGCATTTTGCACCTTGAAGTCGTTGAGAACGCCATTACCGGCGACATTTTTCGTCAATTTGTTGAAGGCCTTCTCCCTCGCATGAACAAATGGCCACTCCCTAATTCGGTCCTTATCATCGACAACGCAGCCATTCACAAGGTGGCTGGAATTCGTGAACTGGTTGAGGGGCATGGCTCGCGCCTCATTTACCTCCCCACATATTCACCAGATTTCAACCCAATCGAACTTGCATTCTCATCCATCAAGGCCTGGCTGCGTGCGAATCGTGCTCGTGTCAATGCCGATCTCGAGTCTGGTAATGGCAATGTGTACCATGCATTCTGGGCGGCCGTCTACTCTGTCACAGCAGACGACGCAAAGGGCTGGTACAAGCACTGTGGGTACCAGGTCCCTCTTCAAGTCCCTCCTTAGTTTCTTTATGTGTGTCTGTGAATATATGGTTGCAGGCAGTCACTCGAATGATCAGGGAACAAAAAGAACACGGTGAATTGAAGCGTTATGGGCTACGCTGGTACGGGTGCATCGGGTTGAACCCACTTGGCTGTCCGACGACCGTGGGATAGTTGACAAATCCACCTCACGTGAAGCGATGTTGCCCCAAGCATTGCCCTGTCGACATGATCCTCCTCATTCGACTCGGTCCTCCTGTTCACCAATCCTTTAAGTTTCGTGCTGCATGCACGAATGGTGCTGAGCAGTTTCCAATCACCCTCTAGGTCTTGTAATATGTACTTTGAATATGATTATTCCTTCCATTCCCGTTGAAATCAATTTTTTGTCAGCGGAGACTAAGTTGCTTTAAGTAAATTCTTTTTCAATTACTATGATTTATTTTTGTGGGAAGAAAATTCGGCATGGTCACCGAGATGCCCATTCAGACTACGCCTGTAAGCGAAAAATGGTCGCGACCCGACAGATGTTATGAAAACAGCTGTAAGTAGCTCCGAGCCAGTAGGCTAGACAATCCCCGCTCAGCGCGTTTTTTGTTGCCTGTGGTCCTCGTATTTTCGACGTGATTTTCGGGTGAACTCGGGGCCTGACCGGCGCGTAGGTCGGATCCTCCTAGGCACATACTGTAGGTCGCTTGCATGCTCAACACTGGTTCATGGGCCAATGTTACGCGATACGGACGGAGTGCTGTAGAGCGGTGATCGAGCTAAGGTCAGGGGAACCATTTTAGCGCCCATGTGACCGGCGCAAGGGTCTGTAGCTAAGAAAGACCGCCGCAAGAAGTATCTTGGTATCTTGGCACCGAAAAGGAAGTGTAGATACAATGGTGATATTGCTTTGCTGATGGTTGTGTCCAAACTCCATTCACTGCACACACCACAAATGTAACAACAGTCGGAAAGGGAAATGACCGAGTCGGGCGACGAACGTGGGTTGTTTTGGGGATGTTGTCAGGCCGACCAAGACGCCGGACCGCCGGATAGGGTCTTAGATAATCTAAACTGCCGTTTTCTGGGCTCAGGTGAGAAAAATGTGGAAGCCAAACCCAATAAATGAGAATTTCAACAGGACAAGGCTGGCACTGCTATTTCTTCACCACCCTCCTCTTCCTTTTTCCTCTATCGATCCTACGACCTCATGACTGGCTACTCTTCCATCTTTTCCTCGGGCCTTCTCGCTACAACACGACCACACGGGCATGCCGACCCTTCAGACTATAGCATACCCTCCCAGCCTGACTGTCGCATAAACGTCGACTGTGATCCCGAAACGACGCCTACAAAGCTGAACACGCCGTTGGACCCTTCATTCGAAGACGTGATGGATTACTTCATGCCTCGCAGCCGCACATCCAGCAACGCGAGCACCAACTCTTCAGCGCCTGGCGGAGTACCACGTCTGCGAAGACGGCGCAGCAGCCTCAGCGTCGCCAACAACGGGCTCGGCGCCATCAAGAGTCCTCAGCGGAATGTGGGCATCGCCCTGCAGCGTAGCACGCTCATTACCCCCGGCGGACGAGCGCGCAGTGGGAGTGTCGATGTCGGCCCGGCTGGCGTGCCGCGCCACGACGAGCTATGCTATGTACCTGTGTCAGGCAGGGTGGGAGGCCGTTCTCGGAGCGGAAGTATGGGTGGGGCGCTGAGGTAAGAACCCGTTTTCTCTACTGTATGTTACTTGCGCTCAACCCCGGTTCCTGTTTGTCGCTTTCAGATCTCGTCGTGCCCTCCGCAAGCCTCCCCCCGTCCCTCCGCCGAATGTGCCCCTCCCGCCTCTCCCGCCGTTGGCCTCCGTGACGGAGCTCTCCCCTCGCCATCCACTCGTCCACCGCACACAGACCACAGAGAACTTTGCCTCGTTCGCCAGTGCACTCGGACCGGATGCGACCTCATCGTCGTTTCTTATGCCTGTTCCCGATTTCACGAACAACTTGAAAGCCATGGCCGGTATGGTCACCACCCCGCCATCTTCCGGTCTGGCAGAGGTTTCAGCGTTCTGGGGCCCCAGTGCCAGGACGAACGAAAACTAATGAACTTGATTTGTACCCGGGTGTATTCATCATGCCCCGAACACCGCTCCTTTTTTCTTTGTTCATGCCACACCCCGTGCACTTCCCTGGATGGACAGCGCCCCCTCCCCCTTTTTTCGGGCCTCTCATCTGCCTTCCGTCATTTACCCTAATTCCTATTAATATTTCAAACATTACTTTAGAATAAGTGCTCGACTGGCCTCGTGCTTGCCTAACATCGCATTTTCATTTTCATTTACATCCTCATCGAATGAGTGCCATTATCACATTCACAACAAAACTTCCGTAACGGAGTCCTTTTTTTGCACACGTAAATATGTTTGTAACTGCTTCATTTACCAAATGATTATCGCACAACCAATACAACGTACCTTCTCCCGACGATGGTTGTAGTCAGAGCTTCTGTGGTGCGAGTATGCTATAGCAGTATTGTCATAGAAAAAAAACACTCATTGTCCCTGAGCGGATTCGAGCCGCTGGCTTCACGGAGTTGCAGCGAGGCAAGCCTCGTGACCACAACGTGATGATTTAACCACTAATCGACAGGGACTTAACAAAGTAGTTTCAATCTAGTTTTCTTGTCCAGGGATCTCTCCGTGAATAGTTTTAATATCGCTGGTAGGTAGAGGTAAAGCAAAACGTTCCACCATGCACTGTAGCTAGCGCAGCTGCAGAACTGGTACCAGTCGCCAAATAGAGAACGAAGTAGGCAAGATACAAATCAATACCCGCGCAGCGACTTGCTGGAAGAAATGAGGACTAGCTCCTCCCGCGAGAAGGTCCTGGAGTGCTCGTGGGTGCTCGTAAGTATTACTCCAATTTACTTGTTGGTCTCGGTAGTCTCAGCCATAACCGCTCACCCGCAGGCGGCGGCAAGGTAGTACAGTACTTGCAACACCTATGCTAGCCATCTCCTGTTATTATACAATCTTCATAGCTTTGTTGCACCGAGCACTCACGCCCCCCTTCAGGAGGGACTCCCAATGGCCTCGGGCATCGGGCATCGCCGAAGTGGACTCACCGAGATGTTTGGTCATACGGTTACGGTCCCATCTCAGTCGTGACACAGGGAAAATCGAAGCACCATTCGCCTCGTCTGATTTGCTTTGCTCATCTCCGCGTCGACAGAAGCGCCGACTGGCGAAGAGAGGAAAAGAACTTGGTGCTGCCGAGCGAAATGAAGGTGCTGCGCCCAATCTCCGGGTCCTCCCATTGGCTGTAGCCTGAGAGCTTTCATTCACACAGGGTGGCCATCGCACCCTTTGTCGCCGCAATATCGCCACGTTCTATTTTCCAAAGGATTGGTACTCGGTCAGTGGAATGTCCATTGGCTTTCAACTGGTGTGAGCGCGCCGACTCAGGTCCTGACAGGGTCGTGCGTGCTGTACGCCGAGGGTCTCAAGTTGCCGCCACACTCGTGCACCGTAACTACCCGAGTTTCGTTTTTTGGAGCTGAGTGTCAGTGCCAACGGTACAGTTCTCGAATACGCGAATTTCTCGTTCTCGTACAATGCACTTGCGTTCTAACGCGTAATACTGGAAACGTGAAGAACTCTCATTTTTTTCTGTTTCACACTTCTCCAAATGATCTGCCAAGTGATCTGCAGCCGAGCATCTCGCGGACACGTGACAAGTTGACCACGCCTTGACCACGCCCAAACCCGATTTTCAATAAGGACGACGCTGTCAGAGTCGGCATGTTCAAATTTTACGTCGTCGTCCGAGCGTTCGCAGCTCGATATGTGACAAGATAATCACTCGACGTAAGAGAGGCGCACACCCTCTTACTGGCATAGAGTCCATTCATACTGTCATGACCGTGAGAAGTTTCCGTGCTGAGATCGAGACGAGAACCCAAAACACGTCCCCGCCCGCCTACTTACCTTTTGCCTTCTTCACCATCATCGACCACTTTTTTTCCCCCCGCCGTGAGTTACCTCCTGCTTTGTCTTATAGCCTAAAGTTGGTTCATTCTCGTCCCTTCTTTAGCACCCCGTCATCCCAAAGGCAAATGCGTGAAGTCATTAACATACACGTCGGACAGGCCGGAGTCCAGATCGGAAATGCTTGCTGTGAGTCAGGCTGAAAAGCCGTCCTCGTCAGCTCCAGGCATTGAATACTCTTCAGGGGAGTTGTACACTGCCGAACACGGGCTGGATGTAAGTTCATGATCGCGGTCTAAATGTTGGCCCTTCTGATACCTCTGAACCCAGCCGGATGGCCGTCTCGGGGGCAATAACACCGTGCGAGGAAATGGCGCCGACGGCTTTAGTACTTTCTTCTCTGAGACGCCATCTGGGAAATATGTCCCGCGTTCTCTTTACATCGATCTTGAGCCAAACGTAATTGACGAGGTCCGTACGGGCAAGTACCGCGAACTCTTCCACCCAGAGACAATGATTACGGGGAAGGAGGATGCGGCGAGCAACTGTGAGTGCATACAGTTTCCTTGTCTAGCGTGACCTGTCTTTTACAACAATCACAGACGCACGTGGTCACTATACAGTTGGGAAAGAGAAGATCGATGTCATCCTTGACAGAATTCGCCGTCTCGCTGACAACTGCACTGGCCTCCAAGGTTTCTTTGTCTTTCATTCCTTCGGTGGTGGCACCGGTTCCGGTCTTGGAGCTTTACTTTTGGAGCATCTATCTACCGACTATGGCAAAAAGTCTAAACTCGAGTTCTGCGTATATCCGGCACCTCAGTTGGCAAACTCTGTTGTCGAACCGTACAACTCTGTGCTGACGACGCATACGACGTTAGAGCACGCTGATTGTTCATTTATGGTGAGTCGGTCGATGTCCGACGATTCTGTTGAAGGGCCTGACGTTTTTCAGGTCGATAACGAGGCAATTTTTGGGATCTGCAAGAAGTATCTGGGAATTTCCCAGCCAAGCTTCACCAACCTGAATCGCTTAATTGCTCAAGTCGTTTCTTCGATCACGGTTTCCCTTCGTTTTACTGGTTCTTTGAATGTCGACCTGAATGAATTCCAAACAAACCTTGTCCCGTCTGTTGCCTTTCGTCGCCTTTCGACGCGGGGGACCTCTAACATTTCCCTCACCGATAGATTCCCGCGGATACATTTCCCTCTTGCCACTTTGTCTCCCATTGTACCCGTGGACCGGGCTCAACACGAGATGAACGATGTCAGTGCAATCACCACTGCCTGCTTTGAACGCGGCAGCCAAATGATCAATTGCGATCCCAAGGAGGGAAAATACAGTATGTTCTACCCTAAAATGTTGGGTGACAATCTGCCTTAAACGAGACATTTCAGTGGCGTGTGCGCTGCTGTACCGTGGGGACGTGGTCTCGAAGGACGTCAACGCCGCTGTTGCTCAATTGAAGACCCGTCGCACCATCCGGTTCGTCGATTGGTGTCCGACAGGCTTCAAGATTGGCATCTCCAACGAACCACCGGCACACATACAAGATGGCGATCTCGCACGCGTTACCAGGAGCGTCTGCGTATTGTCCAATACGACTGCTATCGCCGACGCATGGACCCGGCTGGATCGCAAATTTGACTTGCTTTACTCCAAGCGTGCCTTTGTACACTGGTATGTTGGCGAAGGTATGGAGGAGGGTGAGTTCTCCGAAGCTCGTGAGGATCTTGCTGCGCTCGAAAAGGATTACGAAGAAGTGGGGATTGACTCCGCAGATGTGGAGGAGGAAGGGGAGTACTAGGCATGTGCGCGTCCTGCTACTGCTTTTCGAGTCCTTCCGTTATCCGCACAGTTCCGACCTTCCGTTTTACTATCGTCTCTATCCACGAGTTCCATAATGCCTGGTATTAATCGTCATGTCCTTCACGATACCCGTCGCAATTGTAGCACACGCACTGGGTTCTGTTCAGCTTTTGAGTCTCCTCGTCTGTGCTATGTGCGATGCATAGTTTCGAACGCTCGAATACTGGCAGTGGGTAAGTGTCAGATCTTGGTGAAGTTGTGAAACATAGGCTGTCGGTTCAACCGTCGGCGTCAATACTTGAAACCTTGATGTTCTCGAAATTCTTGATGTATTTTTTTCCCTCCTTCGGCTGGCAGAAGGCATTTGTATGTTACATTCTTACGGTTATAAAACATTGTAACTGCATTGGAGTTCTCTAGTAGATTGGGTGATGAGACCCCGATGAGATGCAGGTGTTGTGATTGCGAAGTCCATAGTTGTCTAATAATATGCACCAAGATGCTCACATTTTTCTGACCACGGCCTTGTAGCCTCAACCTCTCCAGTACCGCGATGGGGTGAAGGGCAGGGGTGTGACAACAGCCCGGCGAGCCTTCTTACGCACTTCGACCGCGAGGGCTGTCCCTTTTTTGTGGAAGCCGGACTTGACGTAAGCCATGGAAATGTTTTTGCCAACGGTAGGAGCGAGTGGGATGCCTGACGTTACGACACCTACGAGCGCTCTTTATTACCGCCGTCAGCCACCACAGAAGAGAGGGGACACGGACCGATTTCGTCTGATGTTTCTGGTGCAAGCACTTTCGTGCCCTCTGAAACGATCCAAAAAAAAAAAAAAATTAGGACGTAATAGATGGGGAATTGAGAAGGGGGTACTACGCACGGCGTGCAGGCGCTTCCTCAACAATCAGTCCTACACGCCGTTTTGGTGGTCCGTTCTTCAGTTGGTCTAGGACGGTCTTCGAGCCGATAAAGCCCCCCACGGTACGACGATCTTTTCCGATTACCCAGGAAAGACCGGCTTCCACGGGCGTCGTGCTCTCATCGAGGTCGTTGCCGTACAAACACATTCCCGCTTCCAAGCGTAAGGAGTCACGTGCGCCCAGACCAGCGAGTTGGACGGGGGAGCGGAGGAGTGCGGATGCGAGAAAAGTGGCATGGGCAGGAGGGATAGAAATCTGAGTTGGGGTGTCGGCAAGAAGCAAGGGGGGGGGTCTAGCACGACAGGTGAGGGGACTGACCTCGAAGCCATCCTCGCCCGTGTATCCACCGCGTGCAACGTGCACGTTGATCCCCTCGAGCGGAACAAACGCGCTCCTGCCAAATGTCAACGCGCGCAGATCGTAGGACGTAAGAGCCTGCAAGTGGTCCGCTGCTGCGGGACCTAGTCTTGAGTCAGTAACGTTCGCCTGACCTATGAAGTCGTCTAGTTTTTGAATGGAAATATGACGACACCTTGTAGGGCAAGTAGTCCCCATCCCTCCAATACTTCGTGTTCCACAGGGCCATCTTTCGAGCGTTCGCTGGTGTTCCACTCTGCCAACCGCGCCTTGAACCATGCCAAATCTTCCACGCTCCTGCCCGCGTTTGTGACTACGTAAAACGCGTCCGACGCGTATTTCGTGATCATCATATCGTCGATGATTCCACCGTCCTCGTTGAGGAGGACTGATAGTGTCGACGTATAGGGAACCAGAGTCGAAAGTGAGGAGGGAGTCAGCCATTCTAAGAATTCAGTTGCCGTGGGGCCGCGGAAGCTACAGGGGTTTTTTCTTCGTTCAGAAAGAAAGGGTATGGACATTATCTTTTTGCGGCACATACTTAGACTGTACCATATGTCCAACGTCAAATAGCCCTGC